TCCACTGGTCACTCTGCAGCATTCTCTTGCATTAGCAAGCAGCATTCTCCCTGAGAGGTTTCAAGGTGAACATCAGGAGAAGGTATTTGAAGCAGACACCTTGCAGGTGGAAAGAGGGCATTGAATGTGTTAACATCTTCCCAACTCACTGCCAACTCTATTCTCAGTTCAGCCTCCCACTTGATTTTTTGAAACTTGAACTCATTAATTAAATCAAAACATGAAAACTGAAATGAATGCTGAGAGCAACTGTACAACAAAACCACAATGAAACACTACACGGATTTTAGGAGACCTGATTTTCAGCAGTGACTAGGCTAGAGGCCATATGCTGCTGAGCCATAAGGTCTTCCCTCAACTTTACATGCCAATTTGTAGAACCAGACAGTCTTACATCTTTACATACCAATTTGTAAAACCAGACTGTCTCATATTCTTGCACTTATGCAGGTAAAGCTAAAGGTACACACTTGGGTGGGTATCGACCTTCCCATTCTCACTTTTTCCCGGACTTGCTTGGAAGACAGATGAGCACAATAGGATCTTTAGAGCCAAGAGCTTTAGGTTAGGGATACAGAGCTGGAATTATTAATAACACCTTCAGTCAGCTTTTTGATGTGGAGGTGCTTGTAGGGCAAGGTGAAACTAATTCTGAAACCAACCAGCTGGCAGGAGCTTCACCTCATTCTTCAGCTCCACTTTGGCCTCCTGGTTAGTTTTTGTCCTATGTTCCTGGTTGCTTCCTGAAACAATCCATTAAAGGAAACTTAAGGCCTGCACAACAGCCAAGTTGATAAATAAAAAGCTTGTAGAAATGTTTAATTCTGTGGAGAAATGGCAGATTATTTAAGTATATTTTTTTCCCATTAGCTTGTTTGCGGGGGTGTAGACTATATTTGTTTTATATCATATAGGAACCTATCAGATTTTATATGCTGAATACATAATTTCTTATAATAGTAAAAAAAAATCTCATGAAGGACTCATCTCTCTTCTTTTGTCAATCTTCTATCTATAAATATCTGCAAGAGAAACTCCTATAGCATTCTAGACTTTATAATAGTAAAATATGTAAATAATAAAGTAATAACATTAAATATTGCTCCTTTGGCATATTCATAATAAACATCAAAAACAGAAGCATTTTTTTAATAAAGAAAATATTTGACAACTTTTCACCCTCATGATATTAACATATATTTTCTAGGTTTACTACTAAGCCCACATCCATTTCATTTTACAAATCCATTATTGTAAATAGCTGCATTAATTTCACCTTCCTGCTTCAGATCAAAGGATAAAAAAAAACCTGTTTGGGTAAATACAGGATTATTTGCAGGTTTTCTAAACTTTTAAGGAATGTGAAGAAAGAAAGGCTGATGGACTCACTTTCCATGTAAGCCAAAACAGACAGAATGTGATAACATGACTTTGTAAAGGGAAGACAAATACACTGAAATTTCTTCCTAGCTCTTAAAACTGGACTTTTGACAATTTTTCAACTTTCCTTACCCATAATAAAAACAAATCCCTCCTTACCATAACAGAAACCAATCCCCTAAATAAACTTTCTGTATTTATACTCCTAGGAAAATAAGGATTTTCTTTTAATGCAAGTGCATTTATTTATTTTAGGAGATTGATTATTTGTAGGAATAACTTTTAGGAAATGTCTTATCTGGATTGCCAGCAAAGCATAATAGTGTGCAAAAAAAACCCAAAACAAAACAAAACAACCAAACAAAAACAAACAAAACAAAAACAAACAAACACCAAAGCGTTTTTCTCTGGTTTCTCTCTATACTGAAAGGGAGGTTTCACTTGTATCCTCACAGTATCACTGGTACTGGCTCTCAAGGAACCACCTTGAAGTATCTTCGTGAGTGGAGGAAACTTTCAGTAGCATATACCATTCAAGGTGCTGGACCTTGAGTATCCTGAATACTGCCCAAAGTCTGGGCCATCATCCTCCAAATTCTCTTCATTTTTGAGAATGTGGACAGCTGATCACTGATGTGATCTTACAGGTTGAACTCTTACAGGCTGGGCTCTGGTGCTCCACCATTGATAAGATCTCTGTTCTCACACAGTGTTTGCTCAGGGCTGCCTTTACGAAATTAATTGCAAGGGTGAATACTCTGTTTTCATGGCTGTGTAAACCATGAAGTGGTTCTTAGTGATGTCCTAATTGGTTTCACTGGAAAATTTCATGACATCTATGCTTGCCAGATCTCAGGTCTCTGCAAATTTGCGGATGCAAGCATTCCTCTTCCAAGAAAGGACAAGATCATTTGTGAAATGCAGGTACCCAGCTGTACTCATTCACTGGGGAGTCTTGAATCCCTACCCAACCCAAAAAACTACAACACCCATGGAAAGATCTTTTCCATACCCATCTTTGGTTGGAGGTGGAACGTGCGTTTGTCAAAATCTGCACTGCCTGACTGGATCCTGCTATCCCCTATGAAGTTCTGAAACTTAGAAGTGACCTTTTTAAAATTATTCTTCTGTGCTCATGCCTACATCAGGGATCGTGCTGCCTTACTTTGCTTGAGCACACTCCAGCACTTAGCACACAGTGTGCTGAGTCAACTGGTCTGAAAAAGGCATTTGTTGAGTGGAGAAGGGACCTCAGGCAGGTCCAGTCAATTAAAAGGTAACATTTTAGAAAGGAAGTGGGTTTGATATCTCTGATTCATTGCTGCAGCTCTTACCTCATAAGCTACCCCTTTTCCCACTCTTACCCTTGAGTTCTCTCTACAGATCTATACAGTGCTCAACACAGCTGACATGGGGTAAGGGGAAAGGGTGCTGTGAATGGGTGTGGGAATACTGATGGGGCTAGTCTTGGGCTAGTGGATGTGGGAATACTGGTTAGGATGGTCTTGGGCTTTGGGATATCTCCTCACTCTGTTCATCTTCACAAATACTGGGTCTTCTCAGAAAGCCTCCACTGATTGTTATACTTGCCACACGTATCTCAGAATGAAAGAGCTGGGAGTCTAACATGGCTGCTGCTTTGGTCATGTCATCCCTTCCAGAGGCATCATCTGTATCCTTGAAGTGAGGAAAGGTCTGCCCAGGTGCCTCTGTTCTGCAGTGGTTCGCAATGAAGTGATTCCTAATTCAGGGTACAGCCCTGCTATCTTCCCCCAGCAGGTAACAGTTATCTCTCTGCTATCACATGCCCACAGCTGCCAGAAATATGTGAGGGCCTCTACCAAGGCTTTGAACAGTATTATAAACCTCAGTGTCTTTCTGTCTGTCAGTTATATTGCCAGGCATTTGGACATATCCATACCTCCTGGAAGGCAGGTTAGAAACCTCTGATGCAAAGTCCTGCTAATCTCAAGAAGACCCTCTGGCCACCTCAAGTCCAGCCAACTGCTTGCAGCAGGATTAACTTCAAAGCTTGATTTGACTTGACAGGATTCAGAATTGATGCTTCCTATTTTTCCTGTGCTCATTACAGATACTTAATAGCATTTGATTCGAAGTACTTCTCTAATGTGATTCTGAAGTACTTCTCTATTAGTACATAGTGTTCTCTATTGAGACCCTCCCCTTCTCACTTTTGGAAGAGCTGGCAGGTGATTAAAATGTTCACTGCAACTTTGATCATTTTAAATAATGCAGCTAAGTGTTTGCCCACAGAGTAATTAGGTATTCATTGACTTGAGAGCCAATATTCTGTGTCAATATTTTAGGTAGGCTAGACTCTGAACTTGAAGACAGCTTTTAATGTCAGTTTTAAATTCCACATTTCTCTTTTGTAAGAAGGCTTCAAGTTAACTTCCTTAGTTACAGTGCCGATTTCTTACATTTGTCAAATCCACTTACCATAATTTTTAATGATTGTAGCCCAGAGAAAGCAAACACCACTCTGCTCTCTCAATCTGCCCAGAGAGAGGGCTGAGGGCAGCTAAAATTCCTTTGGGTTAGACAGAGGAACAGAAGCAAACATTTTAATTTTTTCTCACCTATTTTCTATGTAAGAGGTGGGTTCTGAATCATGGGGTCTCTATGGCCTTTAAAGAGACATGGAGGAGGGAAGTATTAAATAAAATGAGTTGGTTCTTTACCCCCCTCTTCCTGGCCAAAATTGATCTTCCCTAATTTGTCTGAATCACCCCATTCCTCCTACACATAGGAAATTCATAAAATAGCGCCGCTTTGCACCTTTCAGACTCTTATGTCTGCTGCAGTCCAGCCTGTGCTGTAGCTCTCACTGGTTTTGCTGAAGAAATTGCTGTGGCAATACTGTGGCAGCAGTATTATTACTTTTAAAATTACAGATCTCAACACTCCCCAGGCATTCATATTTATATGATGCAGTCTTTGCTGGTAAAAGTCACATGATAAAGCAAGTATCTTAGCCTTTGTGTTGCCATAGGAACAATCCAAACCTAAAGCATTTCCCTATAAAAGGAAATATGTTTTGCTTCCTGTAAAACAGGCATAGCAAAGTCATACTCTTGTTAGATAATTGGAATTTTAACTTTCAATATGTAGAATAATTCAAGGTTAGATGAGTCTGCACTAACAATCTTTCCATTTGTCATGGGATGCCGGAGTGCAGCCTTCTACCAAATTTGGAGAAAACCAAATTTGCTAAACCACAGCTAATTTACCCTACTTTTTAGCCATGGACGTTCTTCTTCTAACCTTCCTTTAAGCCTCTACAGATTCATTGTGCTGCTAAACTTACCAGTTTAAAATTTGTACTGACTACCCAATTTCTACTGTCATCTTGATATAAAAATAACAAAACCAATACTTTAATATTGGTTTATGAGCTTTGAAATTTTCTGTGATGGTCTTCTGATTGTACTGGGATTTCTATGAATGTAAGCCTGAATATGTATGTGATCAGAGAAGCGACCAGTGTCACTGAATATGTATGTGATCAGAAGAAACCAGTGACTGATCAAAGCTCTTCATCTTCACAACTCACTAAAGCATTTTCCTTTAGATCAATGGTTATGTTGGGGATTCTTTTTTTTGAGCAGAGGTATCTTTTTCTTATAAATATAGTGATGCATATAGAATTCTGCCTGGATATTTGCCTTTGTGAAGTCTATGGTGATCTGGTTATGGGGCAGTTTTCCAACAAGCATGTGTTTGTTCTACTAAAATTTACCACACACACACATCACAACTGCAATAGTATCCCAGTTCACCTGAGCTATTTTCTTCCTCCTCAGCATTTTCCTGAGGATCCCTCTGATCTCCTTGTTCCTCAGGCTGTAAATGAGGGGATACATTAAAGGAGTAATGTTGGTGTAAACCAGAGACACCACCTTGTCCCGAGTGGGTGAGTAACTGGACTTAGGGCGAATGTAGATGAAGGTGGCACAGCCGTAGTGCAGTAAGGTGATGGCCAGGTGTGAAATGCAGGTGGAAAAGGCCTTGCCCCTTCCCACAGCGGAGGTGACACCTAACAAAGCCACCGCAATGCACAGGTACGAGGCCAGGATTAGGAGCAAGGGGAGCAGCAGCAGGAGCACGCAGGCCGCCAGCAGGAGCAGCTCGGCGGCGTAGCCCTGAGCGCAGGCCAGGCGCAGCACGGCAGGCACGTCGCAGAAGAAGTGGTCGATGCAGCAGGACTGGCAGAAGGGCAGGCGGAACACGGCCACTGTCAAGCCCAGAGCAGCGGCGAAGGCTGCCAGGGGGCAGGTGAGGGCCAGCCGCAGGCACAGCCCCTCGCCCATCACGGCCGCATAGCGCAGGGGCTGGCAGATGGCCACGTAGAGGTCGTAGGCCATGGCTGCCAGCAGGAAGCACTCGGTGCCCCCGAGGGCCACGAAGAGGAGCATCTGTGCGGCACAGCCCAGCACCGAGATGGCGCTGCCGCCTGCCGCTGCCAGGCCGAGCAGCGCCTTGGGGACAATGACTAAAGTGTAGCAGAGCTCGATGGCAGAGAGTTGGCAGAGGAAGAAAAGCATGGGGGGACGTGAGGGCTCCATCACCAGCGCCACGAAGATCATCATATTCCCAGCCAATGTGACCAAATGAACAATGAGAAAGATAAAGAAGAGCAGGACTCGCAGATGGAGCAGCTCGGAGAAGCCGAGCAGGAGAAACTCCATGGTTGCACCAGTGCTCGCATTGTCCCTCTGCATGCAGCCTTCACATGGCATCTACAGGAGAGAAACAGAAGGGAAACTGCTGAATTCGATGCCTGGCAGTAAATTCTAAACAGGAAATAATGCTGCATTACAGTAGAACCAGTGTAGTAAAGCGTATTGGCTAGAGAGGAAGGGGATTTCATTGAAAAAACCCCCAAACTTCAAACCTAATTTCCCTCAGCCACATTCAGCACAATCCCAGACCCATATTCTCACAACCACCAAAGTTCTTGTGCCCAAACAATCTGCCTAGGATTCTTTGTCACGACGTTGGTGACAAAGACTGTTGATCATTGGGTCTTCATCACTTATTCTGAGTTGTTCTTATGTTTGTGACCATGTGCAGGTTTTGAAAATTCATTAGGTACCCTTTAGGAGTCAACACTGATTAGTCTGACTGAGCTGTCCTGCTTTTGAGAGTCTTCATTGGACTCTCCCTCCTGATCTGAGTGTCCTAAGAAGCTGCAGACAGAGGTGTTTGGGTCTTAACAACCCTCAGCTCCTGGGTCTCACAGATGCTGCTGCTTTTCCTTGTGCTTCTACTCCCAGGCAGATCTGTTAATTCTCTATTCACAGCACTTCTGCAATCCTCTACATCTGTGTCAGAGATATGCAAGGACAATCAGACAGTGAGCTGGAGCTTCTCTGCTACAGCCTGACTCCCATTAGTGGGAATTTGAGGTGCTCTCTGGCTGGCTTTTCCCTTCTCCACAGTGGGTCTGCCATAGGGTTCATACAGAAAGAGGGTTTCAGTGATTAGACATGAGAATTCCGAAGTGAGGGCTGACAATTTGGCTGCTTACATCTTTATGTCTGGCTCGGCCCTATGGCATCAGAGTTAAAGTACATAAACTTCCACTCTCAAAACCAAAAATGTCCATGGCAACATACATACTCTATAACAGTTTTTTAAGGAAAACACAATGTTATATCCTGGACTTGGAGACTGAGATCTTGCTTTTCACAGGAAGAACACACATTTCCTAGGAATGTGGAGAGATACAAAGTTATTTAAGCTGAAATAAGAAAGATTGTAGAGAGACATACAAAAATAAATTATATATACTGGTCATGGTTGAACAGAATTCATTGCTACATGTTCATCAATGAATACAGTATTAGCTACAAGGAATAATTCCAACTCTTTCTACACTTTGCCGTAAAACAGAAATAATATCAGAGATTCCTTGAAGACTTCTGCGTATATAAAAATCCCAGCAATATTTAAGTTTGAAACAAACAGGAAAATTACTTTAAATGTCATCAAAGACTAATAGAAGGAATGTGAAATTGGTGGAAAAGCTATTAGTGGAGATTGGGATTTTCCTGTAAAAAGATGTTTCAAAAAAACTCCAGAAAAAATAATCAATACGGTTGAGGAGATGAATCTGCTTAAAGCCTACAGACCTTTGCCTTATTTTGTTTTGCCCCAAGGTTTCCTTGTGATTAGTATCTCAGCAGCATTCAAAACATCTGGGGACTCAGGTAAATATGAAAATACCCACAATTATATTACCTCAGGTGCAAAACTAGGAATTTAGTCAGTTTGCTTCATAGTATAAGTCAGCAAAATTAACAAGCTAGGAAGAAACTACCATAAACTCCAAGACCAAAAAATAATGGACAACCAGTGAAGACCAGGAAGGAGCTTTTTAGAGAACATAGAGACACCAGTGATCCTGCAAAACCAAGTAAAAAATGCTACTGCTAGACAGTTTCCAGCAGTTATAAAGCCATGGTTAACTCCTACATCCATGCTTTGCTGCTGCAAGACCTCCCCAAAAGCACTTCTAAGCAGTCTGGCTGTAAATCTTTTTTGACACTCTATGCAAGTAAAAGGTCTTCACTGAAAACAGGAGTAATGGGTTGGTACATGGCTGTGGACTAAGGACCAGCTGGGGCTGCCCTCACTCCAAGTATTGAGACTTTAAGAGGATTCTGCTAAACACAACAGGGCTAAGAAGTGGGGAAGAAACAGGAGTTTCCCTTCATTTCATTTGAAGCTGTTTGCTTCAGTAACAACATACCTTCTCTGAGTTAAAAGGTAAGAAAATAGAGACTTCTTTCTCTTGATGATGTCTGCTGTTCAGTCTGGGCTGAGATTCTGTTTCTTGCCCAGTCTGGGCTCCCTCTGACTGTGGGTGTCCTAGAGCCAGTATTTTCTTTCAGCATCTCATAGGCATCCTCTCTTCTCCTCTGCAGGACCCAGCTCCTTATATACCATATGACACAGAAGTCTGTCCTTTTCCCTGCTGCCTCACCCCTGCACCAAGGACAGGCAGTTCCATTCCTCCCAAGAAAGGGGGGGTTGCAGGTATTCTGTAAATCAAGAAATAGGATGTAATTGCATCTTCAGACGATGGCAGAGTTGCAACACCCTCCTCTCTTGTTCTCTTCACTGAAGCAAATAAAAATAGCTGATTATTGATGGGGCTGCTTTGTATCTGGCATGGCAACATTTTAAGTTTAAGTTAACATTTAAACAAAATTAATTGCTGCTCTTATTTAAAAATAAATCTGTGCGTCTTTAAGTAATTTTAAACCAAACTAACACTTAGAGGCAAAGATAAACAGATATTAAGACTTTAAACACACCTGTGTGTAGAGTTTTCACCATTTCAGGTGACCCATTTTTCCTTACTGTCTCAGATGAAATCACCATTCAGCAATTGATAGGAGTGAGATTATTTCAGCCCTATTTATTTTTATTGTCATTGTTATATTCATTCCTGGCTGTTTACTCTGAAATAATTAAAGAGATCTGTAGCCTTATGTGAGTGGAAAAGAGAAGCAAAGTCAAGATTTTTGACTGCTAAAATGGATCTGCTTAGCAGAAACATGTAAATATGGTACCTCAGGATTTTTCACAGGACTTGGTTTAGAAGGAATCCTTTCAAAATGTTCTTCTCTCACATTTTGTCTATGTGGTATAGTCATTTTGGAACAAAACTGCCTCATGCATTGGTCCAGTTTGGGAGTAATTGTGTTGGGAAAAGAACTTGGGCTTCAAGTGGACAGCAAGAAACAGGAGCTAGGAAGGGGCAAGAAAGACCAAACACTTACTGCAATAGTATGTGTCCAGCAGGTGAAGGAAAGTGATTATTCCCCTTTATCTGTCAACGTGTAGCCACATCTGGAACACTGCTGAAGTTGTATTTAGGTATTTTTATTCTATTTTAAACCTGTCATTTAACTCTTGGAATTACAGCTATGACAGTGGAGTCCATCCTCTTTAGTTTCTCAAGTCACTTCCTTAACTTTCAAAAGTTTTTTTTAAATTTCAACTGTTTTCCTTACACTTCTTACTGTTTAAGGTTCGGCAAATAATTCAGGGCACAGAATGCTTTTAGAGCATTTACAAAACTGAATTCTGAATTTGTCTTGAATTCTAGGTAGTTGTATAATGCTGAACAAAACAGCAACCCTGAAGCCTCTCGGTGACACATTGTCTCTGCAGTTGTAACAGGAGCAAAACTGAGGTGCTGGTTATTTTCTAACTACACCTAACAAGTTGGGCAGATTATAAATGGAAGCAAATCTTTACAGTGAAGTCTATTTTAGTCAAATGCTTTGCAGAGTAAGACTGCTCCCTCTAGGAAACTCAGTCAGAATTTCAGGACACCAGCTGATTAACTCATGCAGAGTTTATCTTTGTGTTACAAAATAAAATTCAGGGGCTCTGGTGCTATTTCTTACTTTGTCCTCTTCTCTTACCTGCAAGGGAGTATCTTCTGCTTCAGTCACAGTGCAAAAAAAAATTATCAGGAACTACTTTGACAAGTCTATTCCAGCTTTCTCATCTTCAGACTGTCCTTTCCTCCTGCTGGGCTGGAGGTGAACTGAGGTGAGTCAGCACGTACCAAGTTACCAATACCACACAGTCAGCAGTTATATGCACTAATTTTTTTTTACCATAGTGCCCAGCCTCACACTGAAATAAATCAGGCAAATTACTGTTTCAGTCTGTGTGTGTGCAGATAAGCCGTCATTTATTAACATGCAACTTACACCTCCCCGCAACGTTTCAACACACTCCCACACGTTACCTGCAAAACACGGCTCCCCAAGAGGGGAGTGCTAGCTGGAGTGAGCTGTGCAGCCCAGTGCCAGAACACACAGCAACCAGACAAACAACAAGCAGCAGAGGATGAGAATATGCATGTCAAAGCGACTCCGTACTTCCTCCTCTAGCCCACACCTTTCAGGTTCCCAGCACTTCCATTGCATCAGCTTACAGCCAAATTCATAACAGATTATTAAAAGCTGCACGTTGGCATTAGTGTTTGCATGTCTTGAGTCTGCAGCATGTTACAGAGCTGTACATTCTGCCTTGCTGCAGAGTTCAGCCGTGCTCTCCTCCCCCACACTCTTAACTGTGATTTTTTTTTCAGTATATGCCTGCAAGGCTTTGGGACTGGCCTGCCTTAGCCCGAATTTGTATAAGAGTCTCCTGGAATCCAGCTACGGTTAATGAATCACATCATATCAGCTTCTATCAGCAGTTGCAACATACTTCAGAGGATATTCCCCTTGGTCTTCAGAAGAAGGGCCAGTGCTGGGCTTGCCTATCCCCACCTGTGGATCACCAGACTTCTCCAAAGAAGGCAAGAGAAGCTCAGTGTAATGTGGAGCAATCTGGGCAAAATGGAAGCAACTGAGAGAGGTACCAGGAAACCTGGTGGAGAGGGACAGCCAGCCCCAGCAACAGCCAGGGAGATGGTGCTCTCAGCCCAGAGGACACAAAGCTCTTCAGCAGGCTGAAAGCAATGTTCAAGCAACACGAATTACCTAGCCAGTGGTAAAAGAGAATAAAGAGGATAAGAAAGATTACATCTTCTTTGCATGCAAAAGCACGCTGATATTGATCCTCAGGGTGTATCTCAGTGCTGTAGAAAGCAAAGATTTTGGCTGTTGTAGCTGCACTGATGTTCTGCTGCAGGTATGTTCAGTAGCAGAAGCTACTGTGTTACTCAGAAACGTCAGGGTGACTTATCTGATTAGAGAACTTAAGGCAGTTTTAAGGTAGATTGCTTGAATTGGTTTTGGTGGTTGATGAAATGTAAGATTCACTCAAATGAAAATGTTAAGAGTGGCAATATAAAAATAAATGTTAATATCCTTTGAGAAAGTACGTTTTTGACTCCA